ATTTCCATTCCATGTTAAGCAATATCTTTTATAAAACATTATAGTCAAAGAATTAATACTTTAATAAGCAGTAATGTTAGAGTATAAGCTTACGAATATCTTGTGATGTCAATTATAGAATGGACTGGCCAAAGACAAAAATCACAGTATACTCGATGAAAATGTAATTTTTCTTTACAGTTTTATATGTATTTGTTTTAGCTGAGAAGTTTTTTTTTCATAAGCACTGTGATTAATTCTGATTGTTTCCCCATCAGTATCACATTATCCAAAGATAAGGTCACTCTCTACCTAGGGAATTAGTGGTTGTATTGGATGGAAAACAAAAACTGCCTGTGTACTTTTATTTTGCTGTCGTTATTTTAAACAGACATTTTGGTTTGAAATGGTAGATGTCTACTTTTGCAAACTGAAAGAAAAATACTAATTTTGAGTCTTATATTTGCAGACCATTGCTTATTGCTAATATCTGTCTTTAATTACAGCAGACAGTGAGCAAGCTGACATTGCGAGGATGCTATATAAAGACACGTGTCATGAGGTACCCAATAATTGCACTCTTTCCCTAATTGAAATTAATTTATTTCAGGATTCCACTTTTACCTACATTTTAATTGTGCCATTTCCTTTAAATGTCTTTTATTTTCATGTTTGTCCATACATGGAAGATAATGCAAATATAAAAAAAAAAAATTCTGGCAAAACTGAAGAGAAATCTTGGGAGTCAGATTTAGTTACTATTAACTTCCACAAGGAAACTCTCAGTCACCTTCAGAACTGTTGCGTTAGCTAGATGCTGCATGTGAATGTGTCTGCTTGGGCAGACGTGCAGTAAACATTACCCTCCTCTAAGGAAGGATCCAAATTTGCATCCCTCTTAAACTGCATAGGCAAAAACAAACCCAACCGAACAACAAAGCACACATTCATACAATAAGCGAAGGACATTTAAGAAAGTATATTTTTTAGAGGTCTTACTTAAAACACTCACCTATAACCATATTATCTTTGCAGAAGTTCCTCAGTTTATACAAAAAGTTTTGTTTGTGAATTCATTTCAAATTTGAATTTTGTTTTTTATTTGTTCAATAAGTATTTACTGAGTGCCTCTTATGTGCCAGGCAGTATGTGAGGAGGAATAACAGGTGATCACAGTGCAGGCCTCCTCTCATAGAGCCACATTCTGAAGGAGGAGACTGGGAAAAAGAAAAAAAAAAAAAACAGATAAAATATGTCTGTTTACAAGTAGTAAAAGAATGCTGTGAAAGAAACAAGGTAATAAAATAGAGAATGAGGCAAAGTAAGGACTGCTGTGATTGGTAGTAGACATTGTTACCTTCCTGAAGAATATTCACTCTGAAGTGCTAACTTGTGAAGTTGGGGCAGGGCCTGGTCAGACTAGGCTTCTATTCCACGTGTAGGCTGAGACCAGGGAGATGGTTCTAAGAGGACACTGGCAGGTTCTTCCAGTACCATTTATTGAAAACTTTAAGCTTAAAAGATTAAGGATTCAACACCACTTATGTACATGAATGTTAATTTACATGGATACATTTTATTTACTTTAATGTGTATGTATATTTTATGTAGGCTAAAATAGTTTCTCTTCTTTTTCAGCTGGATGAACTACAGCTTTGCAAGAATTGCTTTTATTTGTCAAATGCTCGTCCTGACAATTGGTTCTGTTATCCTTGTGTATGTGAAATTTTGTGATTTTTGTTTTTTATCTCTTAAGCATATAAAGTTTATTTCCAGTTTGGTTAAAGATTTTAATACTCCCTAAATTTTTTAAATATCATAATATAGATGGTTTTAATGAGTATAAACAACTGAAAGGAAAAAATAACAGGGCTTGTTATCCATTTCTGATTTTAAAATGAGATATTGAATAAAAATAGATATTGGGTCCTTTTCCTTTTTGAGATGGGGTCTCACTCTTGTTGCCCAGGCTTGAGTACAGTGGTATGATCTTGGTTCACTGTAGCCTTGACCTTGCCCAGGCTCAAGTGATTGTCCCATCTCAGCTTCCAGAGTAGCTGTGACCACAGGCACATGCCACCACACCCAGCATCTGGGTCCCTTAATATCGTGAATTTTTGTTTTTCCTTTCATTCTTTCATGAGAGACCTAAGGCTTTGCATTTGTCTGTAGTTGTATAATTTCCCCAAAATGATACGGCTTCAAGCCGGGCGGTGAAGACAAAGGGCCTCTGAGCATTCTTGGCCAGCAGCCTTGGCTGCCTGAGAGAGCCAGTTCTGCGAGACAGTGCTGTGCAGAACTAAAATTTCCCCATTTCTAACAAATTCCCAGGGGGTGCTGATGCTGCTGGCCCCTCTGGCTGCACTTGGCAAAGCAGGTGCTCTGTTTGCCACTGTCATGCATGTGGATGGCCTTGGTTTCAGGGGCTGCCATGCTCCAGTCCCAACCTCTTCTGAGGAATAAGGCTCATGTTGGCACCCTGATGCAAATATAAATTTTTTGGTGTTTTTCTTAACGGTAAAATCAGTCAATCCTAGAAAAAAAAATTTCATATGTGTTTAGGAGTTACAAAAGAAATACTTTTGAAATATAGATTATACTTGACTAGTTTAATATTAATGGTACACTTGCATTTAATACTTTAAAAGTAATATAACAAGGTAAAACGTTTAATTTCCAGATACCTAATCATGAGCTGGTTTGGGCTAAAATGAAAGGTTTTGGGTTTTGGCCAGCCAAAGTCATGCAGAAAGAGGACAATCAAGTTGACGTTCGCTTCTTTGGCCACCACCACCAGAGGTAATTCATGACCCTACGTTCAGTGGTCACAGCTGTGTTTATGAAGTCCTTAAGAAAGTCTGATGATTTCTCCATCAGAGATGGATGAAGTTTATTTTAAATTGGCAAAAAATAAAAAAAAGGACATTATGCTGCCAGCAATACATTCTAAGATAAATTGTTTCCAAATATTGTTTACTAAACAGGACATTTGTAATAACTGACACTGTTGAACTTCAGAAGCACATTAGTGCTCAGACTGAATTTGTAGTACAGTGGGCAGAAGGGTCTCAGAATGTGGCCATTCCATACGTCACAGGGCTCGGTTAAAGACATAGACTAAAGTAATCTTGTGATCTCAGAATGTGTGTAAGTATCTAAAGTGTGCATAAAAATTAGTTGACCCATGAATGGTGTGGATGTTAGGGTCTAAAGCCACAATATGAATAAAGAATTCACATACAATTTATTTGGTTCATTTAACACAGCTATTGAGATAAGGGGAAAAAGTGACAGAAGTCAGCTACATGATCTAATAGTCCTACTTTGCAGGGATTTAAATGAATAGTCCATGGAGTGTCACCTGTCTTGCCAGGAGGTTATTAGTGCAGAGAGAAGCTACACAATGAGGGACCTTATTCCTCCCTGTGGTAAATTTTTACTTAGTCTTCATTGAATTTAAATAGAAGTGTAGTTATGAGAAACCTATAAATGCTATAAATTTCCCAAAAGGTAGTTCTGTTCTTTCATAGGTAAACACACACTTACCTGACACTGTCATGTTGAGAAACGTTAGTTAAATAATGATCCAGTAAAATAACTCAATATAAAATGAATGTTTTAGTTACCTTATTTTTAAATGGTAATTTTTTAACTGTGTATACTTAATACATCATATTCCTTTGGTTTCAACTTCTTATCAGAACAGGCAGGGAGGGAATATATTCTTACTAGGTAGGTTAGGGTAAAGCTTTACGTGAGATTTGTGCCCTTGCTTCACAATATTCTACCTTAATCTTGACACATTAGTCAGTTTCTCTGAGCCTTAGCAAAATATGGGCCTCATAAGAGTTTTTGTAAGGTTTAAAGAAATGTTTATATAGAGAGACTTAAGCATAGTACGTGGCACATAGTGAATACTCAATAAAGGTCTGCTTTTATAATACAACAAATATGCAAGGAACAAGGGGGCAAGTTTGCCTCAATGTTTTTTAACTTAGAAAAACAAGAATTCAGTTATGTTTTTACAGCTATACTGCTAGGTAAGAATAATCTGATAATTAGAACTTTTTACCTGTATATTTTTCTTTTCCATCAACTTGCAAGTATATGCTTTATAGTGACTTCAACCATGAGTGATACTTATTAATAATGAGTTAACTTGTTTTATGTCATTCAGTATACTAAGCAGAAAATATTTTTAAAGAATATTTGGGCTACTCTACAGCAGTCCTTAGAGTAATCTATCACCTAAAGGAGAGAATTAAAACATCAGATTATATTTCCAAAGGTATTATTTTCCCTCGAGCGAGCTTCTTAGGTCCTGCAAAATTTCACCTAAATAATTCTAGACAGATAGGACTCAAAGGACTTTATTTCAGAAAACAAGAGGTTGAAAAAAATCACTATGTAATCTTTTTCTTGGATATAATGTGAACAATAAGATATTTGAAGTGAATAATCGGTTAGGATATACTTTATAATCTACCATATTAGAATGTTGGATTTATTTTTAAAAATGGATAAAATTATAATCATCAATTTTTAATTATTTAAGCATCATATGCACCAAAAGATTCTGGTTAATGAGGAGCCACTGGTTGCAAGTTTTGGCTAATAATTATTCTTTTGCTAGTTCGTCATAGCATTACATGTAAGTGGGAGGGGAAAAAAAAACTTAATGGTTTTGTACCAGTCCCTTCTATACATGCAAATAGAACATGCTGCTTCTTCCTAAACAAATAAATCTCCAGGAAAAGAATTGATGTGTTAACATGTGAGAGCTGCTTTAGTGAGGTTTCTGTAAGATTTGCAAGATTTTGCTTGTCAAAGAGAAGTAGCTGAATCTTTTTGCTGCAAGTTACTGGTGGATGACATGGCCCAGGCCAGGAAACCAAGTACAGGCAAAAAAAAAGAGGTAGAGCACTTTGGGTTCATTGACATCAGATCACCATTTTAGTCTGCATATGTAGTCAAAGCATTGACAGATGTAGAGATAGAGTCAAATTAGACTATTCCTCTTTTTATTTAGACTTACCTTAAATTGTGGGTTTTTTTTTTTTTTAAGATCAGAGAGCAAACCCTGTGATAATTTTTTTTTAACTGAAATCTGATATTCTATAGTACTGGAGTTGATTAAAAGAGAATAGAAGTACATTATGAACTGTGTTGAGGCTTTTTAAAGAACAAACGTGAATCCATTTTATTTAAGATAAATAATTTAAGTATGGAAAATACTCCTATAGATGACGAGTTCATTCCAGGTTTCAAGAGCAAACTACTTTAAAAAGTGAGCAAACCATTTTTATTGAATTTCTACTACATAATAGCAACTTACTTAATAAATAGCTGTTGACTGGAAGACTAAATATATTAATTCAAAATATAATGGCAAGAAACTCTCCACAAGCATAATTTCATTTGTACTCTGCATTGGAGTTTAATTTCTCAAAGTTTAGTTTACTTTGATATGGTTTTTAACAAAATACTTAAGGCCAGATGAGACAGTTGATATAATGTTAACAGTAGGGCTGGGCGCGGTGGCTCAAGCCTGTAATCCCAGCACTTTGGGAGGCCGAGGCGGGTGAATCACGAGGTCAACAGATCGAGACCATCCTGGTCAACATGGTGAAACCCCGTCTATACTAAAAATACAAAAAATTAGCTGGGCATGGTGGCGCGTGCCTGTAATCCCAGCTACTCAGGAGGCTGAGGCAGGAGAATTGCCTGAACCCAGGAGGTGGAAGTTGTGGTGAGCCGAGATTGCGCCATTGCACTCCAGCCTGGGTAACAAGAGCGAAACTCCGTCTCAAAAAAAAAAAATAAAATAAATAACAGTAACAATTTTAGCTATTGTTAGCATCTAATGATATAGATTACTGTATATTTAAAATGTACTTCTAGATTATAAAGCTTGACTTTTACAAACAAGTAGAAATTTTTATTTATGCCTGAGGCACATGTGGCAATGATCCTGTAAGTGATTCCTTCAAAATGGTCATAGGCCCAGTATTTCTGGAGCTCTATAATTTATAGGCCAGGGATGAAAACTATAATATCATATACATTTATAGCAGGAAAAAAATCTTTAACAGAAAACTAAAAAGCATAAATATGTGTGTGTTTATAGTACCGTATCGCAACTGGTACTCTGCTGTAGAAAGTGTCTGTGACTCATGCATCCATGTTGTTGCCTATCTCATTTGTAATGTTCCCTCTGCCTGGAATCTTTCTACTCATATTGTCTGCTGTTTAAATCTTACTTAATCTTTCAAGACCAAGGCCAAATAAAATGTTGTGACCACTCACAACCAAATGAAAACTTCCTCTTCTCCATAGCACCCTAGAGTACCTTTACTACCTGCTGCATTGCATTATAATTATTCCTTAGTTCTTTCTGACAAAATTATAAGTCCCTCAAAGGCAGAGGCAGCATATGAAGTGCCATCCTGATAATCAGAAGATTAAGACCTTGCTGGATTCCAACCACTAATTAATCATTTACCTTAACCCCTGTGGGCAACATTCTTGCAGCTGTCAAATGAGGCAATGAAACTCAAGATCACACCACTTCTCCATTCTTTGTAGTGCCTTCCACTGGTACACAGTAAACATCTGTTGAATACAACATTTGGGACGGATATTAATTTAAATCCAGAAAGAGACCAATGCCCAGGAAAATGTTCTTGAATTTTTAGCATTCTTTCCTATAGAACCAAATATAGTTTTACATATGTATTACACATAAGTCAGAGGCACTTCTGATCACAGCTAAGTACATTATTGCTAAATAATAAATGGCTCTGTCAGTCTGGTTTCTCTAATTAGTAGAGGCGTGATAGAAATATGACTTACTTGATAATATTTTTAGTTCTCATTTTATATGAATATATGTATGTATCTTGTGAAAATTTCTGGGCATTTTCATGTGATTCTTCAGTGCTAACTGCAAATAGCTAGATGGGTTCTGTTAGTTTACAGTATTCAGAACAACAAATAACTTTAAAAGGACTTATGAAGAATGCAGATATGAACTATGACAAGCTAAGCCAATTACATTGTGAACAATGACGAGGCATTTGTGAGTCACTCCAATTCGGAGAACTTTTCTTTGTTGACTGTGAAAACAAATCTCATTTATTTTCTGCTTGGTAACAGTTTGCTTATTTAGGCCATGACTAAGCCTAAGTAACTGTGGTTTTGCAATTAAAAGTAATGGCGGGAATTGCAATGACTTTTGCACCAAGCTAATAGGTGCTGCCACCACAGGTCACACTTTTACCATCTTTCCTGCCATTTGGGATGTTTCTCAGTATATCTTTACATGCTTTTCCTAGGGCCTGGATTCCTTCTGAAAACATTCAAGATATCACAGTCAACGTTCATCGGCTGCACGTGAAGCGCAGTATGGGTTGGAAAAAGGCCTGTGATGAGCTGGAGCTGCATCAGCGTTTCCTACGAGAAGGGAGATTCTGGAAATCTAAGAATGAGGACCGAGGTGAGGAAGAGGCAGAATCCAGTATCTCCTCCACCAGTAATGAGCAGGTGAGTGTGTCTCAGGAAGGAAGTGCATATTAGTTACTACTTTTAAATGTGGAAATCTTAGCGTACACTCCTCACTGTAATGAACAGATTGACATTTTCCTTCCCTTTTTTACATTTGTAAAGTGCTCTGCACAAGTAAACCAAAACCAATTCAAATGAATACATAGATTTAACCATGACCTTGACCCTGCCGATGAGAAGAGAGTTAAGGACAACTGCTCATCTCTGAAGGTGTGCTAGCTCTTTCAAGCCTGCAGTTACCAGAATAGTAATTAAGACAGTGGTAACTGAGTGGATGGAAGGATGCAAAAGGTAGAGATTTATTCAGTTCTTACCTGTGGGTTCACTATGAGTGTTTACAGTAGAGAAGTATTTCCTAGGGTCCGGAATAATATATTACTTTTATAATGCCCACAGCTAAAGGTCACTCAAGAACCAAGAGCAAAGAAAGGACGACGTAATCAAAGTGTGGAGCCCAAAAAGGAAGTAAGTTGCCCACCTCACAGTATCCAGGTGGCAAATGAAACATGAAATATTTTCAAAGTACATTCAAGACAATCACTCTTGGTGGATACTTGTGAAATTCAGTTGCTGTCAATCAAATAATAGCCATCAAGTTGAAACAAGTCTTGTGACTTCCCTGGAATAGCATACATACTCCAAGTCTCCATCTTAATTAAGCAACCACTGACTAAAGCTTGGCTAAGTGGGAAGGGCACATTGCTGCTGATACATTTCCTGGGAACTCTGATCCTTTTATTTCATTATTTAAAAACAGCACATTTATCCAGTATGTCAATTATACCAACATTTAACAACTTGAAGGAGACTGTGGTTGAGCTCAGCCGTGTAAGCCCTGCATGTTTTAAAACTGTAAATCTGGGCACATTTCAAACACATATTCAGTGAGAAGTGGTTCAGGGTTTTAGGAAATTTTTTAATGAATCTAGTCCAATGAAGTGATTGTAAGTTGACAATAATTTTTATATTCTATAAATTTTTGTGTTTAGTCTATTTTAAAAACAAAACTTATAGTATCAGTATGTAATAAAATTATAATCATTGTAGCTGTTAATTGCATGTTCTTTTCATTCACTGATTAGTTTGGGGGAGAGTGGTTTATTTTTAATTAGGGCAAAATATACAGAAAATCTACCATCCTAACCATGTTTTTTTTAATAGCAGTTTAGTATATGGCTATTTACGTATATTACTGTATTTTTATCCTAATAGAGTAGTAGTTCTTGAACTAGTGAATTATATTGCTTTGTTTTACATCTAACCTCTTTTATTGCCTTTTAGGAACCAGAGCCTGAAACGGAAGCAGTAAGTTCTAGCCAGGAAATACCCACAATGCCTCAGCCAATCGAAAAAGTCTCCGTGTCAACTCAGACCAAGAAGTTAAGTGCCTCTTCACCAAGAATGCTGCATCGGAGCACCCAGACCAACAATGATGGTGTGTGTCAGAGCATGTGCCATGACAAATACACAAAGATCTTCAATGACTTCAAAGACCGGATGAAGTCAGACCACAAGCGGGAGACGGAGCGTGTTGTCCGAGAAGCCCTGGAGAAGGTAATGCTTGTGGCTGCGGTGGGTGCCCTGCCGCAGCCAGCCCTCTTGTCATGGTTAGGCTCCTTTTACTCATGCATCAACCCAGTGTCAGGTTTTAAAAAGAGCAATATAATGAAACCAGTATCTTTTATAGCATTTCAAGTAATAATGATACTTTTCTCACCTAAATTTTTTACACATGTAATAAAGGGAAAAAAGGTACCTCATGCAAGTAGAAACTATGTGTTAAGTTTTTGTTTTGGTGTAGATAGTCTGTGTAAGTTGTACACTGACCTACTATGGGGTTTCTTTTCGTTCCAGCTGCGTTCTGAAATGGAAGAGGAAAAGAGACAGGCTGTAAATAAAGCTATAGCCAACATGCAGGGTGAGATGGACAGAAAATGTAAGCAAGTAAAGGAAAAGTGTAAGGAGGAATTTGTAGAAGAAATCAAGAAGCTGGCAACACAGCACAAGCAACTGATTTCCCAGACCAAGAAGAAGCAGTGGGTAAATAACAGTCTTTTTTTAGACTCGTGTTTCTGGAAATGTAACACAGGTATGATGCCATTTAATTCAGAAGATAGCTGTGGCACATGCAGATGATTTCCTGAAATAAGATCGAGTGTGAAATGGTCAGCTTTAAGTTTTAAAATTTTACTAAAAGTCCTATGCTCTCCCAACCCCAGATCCCACATGACTGTGTACTGCTCCGAATTATTTTATTAAGTTGAGATTATAATATTTCAGTACATATTTATTACAATTAACTTATATAATTTCTCCATCTCTGCAAATATTTTATTTGGGCAAATTGGCGGGGCCTGACTTTTTCCTGGTGATCTTTGATAGTTAACATTCAAATGGTGAAATTATAAATGTAATTATCACAATAAATAGTTTCAGATTTCCCTGCATTTAACGTTTATACATTAGATTCCGTTAAATCAATTACTTTTACTTTACAGTGGTGACATCTCATTGGTCTCTACCCTCCCTTATACCTGACTGACTAGTGTCATTTGTCACCATGTCCTGCTCATGAGTCTCATGCTCTCCACCGGAGTGGGAACTTCTGAGTACACAGGAGCCAAGTGCTTGTCTTACAGCTGCCGTAGCACTCAGTGAATTGGTAGGGAAAAGTTTTGCTTCCAAAAGCTCATAACTTGGTTGGTCTCAGTTTTAATGAACAACTATGTAAAGTTTTGTGATAAACTTTAATCCTTCATTTTATCCAGCCTGTGTTATATAAATACGCATAAACTTTTCATGAAAGAAATATTTTTAAATCTGTGATAAAGATTTGGCAAGAAGGAAATGGGAAACTTACCATTTAATTCAGAAAAATAGATGAAGATAACTTGGTAGGAAGAGCTCGTGAATGACAAAATAAATATTGTTAACAAAAGACCAGGAGATCTGTGAAGGGAAAAAGAGATTTTCTGTTAAAAACACAACCTGCATGTGGGGGAGGCACAGCCTTCAGTACAAGTGAAAGTGTGCTCTTCAAAGAAGAAAGAGGAGATAAGAGGTTTTATAAAAAGGAGAAATTTTCCATATTTTTTTCCCTTCCTATAGTCTTTTTTTTTTTTTATTGCATTTTAGGTTTGGGGGTACATGTGAAGAACATGCAAGATTGTTGCATAGGTACACACATAGCAGTATGATTTGCTGACTTCCTCCCCATCACCTATATCTGGCATTTCTCCCCATGCTGTCTCTCCCCAACTCCCCACCCCACACTGTCCCTCCTCCTCTATTTCCCCCCGCCCCTGACAGACCCCAGTGTGTGATGCTCCCCTCCCTGTGTCCATGTGTTCTCATTGTTCAACACCCACCTATGAGTGAGAACATGTGGTGTTGCATTTTCTGTTCTTGTGTCAGTTTGCTGAGAATGATGGTTTCCAGGTTCAACCATGTCCCTACAAAGGACACAAACTCATCATTTTTTATGGCTACATAGTATTCCATGGTGTATTATGTGCCACATTTTCCCTGTCCAGTCTATCATCGATGGGCATTTGGGTTGGTTCCAAGTCTTTGCTATTGTAAACAGTGCTGCAATGAACATTTGTGTGCATGTGTCCTTATAGTAGAACAATTTATAATCCTTTGGATATATACCCAGTAATAGGATTGCTGGGTCAAATGGAATTTCTATTTCTAGGCCCTTGAGGAATTGCCACACTGTCTTCCACAATGGTAGAACTTATTTACACTCCCACCAACAGTGTAAAAGTGTTCCTATTTCTCCACATCCTTTCCAGCATCTGTTGTCCCCAGATTTTGTAATGATCACCATTCTAACTGGCGGGAGATGGTATCTCAATGTAGTTTTGATTTGCATCTCTCTAATGACCAGTGATGATGAGCATCTTTTCATATGTTTGTTGGCCTCATGTATGTCTTCTTTTGTAAAGTGTCTGTCCATATCCTTCGCTCACTTTTGAATGGGCTTTTTTTTTTGTAAATCTGTTTTAGTTCTTTGCAGATTCTGGATATTAGCCCTTTGTCAGATGGGTAAATTGCAAAAAATTTTTCCCATTCTGTTGGTTGCCAATTCACTCTAATGACTGTTTCTTTTGCTGTGCAGAAGCTGTGGAGTTTGATTAGGTCCCATTTGTCTATTTTGGCTTTTGTTGCCAATGCTTTTGGTGTTTTGGTCATTAAGTCCTTGCCTATGCCTAGGACTTAATGGTTTTGCCTAGATTTTGCTTCTAGGGTTTTTATGGTGTTAGGTCTTATGTTTAAGTCTTTAATCCATCTGGAGTTAATTTTAGTGTAAGGTATGAGGAAGGGGTCCAGTTTTTGCTTCCTGTACATGGCTAGCCAGTTTTCCCAACACCATTTATTAAACTGGGAATCCTTTCCTGATTGCTTGTTTTTGTCAGGTTTGTCAAAGATCAGATGATTGTAGACGTGTGGTGTTGCCTCCAAGGCCTCTGTTCTGTTCCATTGGTCTAGATCTCTGTTTTGGTACCAGGACCATGCTGTTTTGATTACTGTAGCCTTGTAGTGTAGTTTGAAATCCAGTAGTGTGATGCCTCCAGCTTTGTTCTTTTTGCTTATAACTGACTTGGCTATGCAGGTTCTCTTTTGGTATGAGAAAAGAGAACTATGGTATGAACTTTAAGGTAGTTTTTTCCAGTTCTGTGAGGGTCATTAGTAGCTTGATAGCATTGAATCTGTAAATTACTTTGGGCAGTATGGCCATTTTCACGATATTGATTCTTCCTAATCATGAACATGGAATGTTTCTCCATCTGTTTGTGTCCTCTCATTTTGTTGAGCAGTGATTTATAGTTCTCCTTGAAGAGGTCCTTTACGTTCTTTGTTAGTTGTATTCCAAGGTATTTTATTCTCTTTCGCAATTGTGAATGGCAGTTTCTTCTTGATTTGGCTCTCTTTAAGTCTGTTATTGGTGTATAGAAATGCTTGTGATTTTTGCATACTGATTTTGTATCCTAAGACTTTGCTAAAGTTGCTTATCAGTTTCACGAGATTTTGGGCTGAGATCCATATTGTTCTTTAAGAAATTTCATGGGTGGCTAGTAAGGTTTTGAGGACCTGGCAAGCTCTGATTGGTGAGGGATGGCAGTTGGTAAAGTAGTCTGAGAGTTGCAGACTAGTTTTGTGGTCTGACTGCTTTTCCCCACTAGCTTCTTGACTTGGCTTTAGTTGGGTATAACAAGAATGACTGAACTTGTATGATCAACTCACACAATACCATTAGATGGGAATTAAGATGTGCTCAAGATAACAGGAGCACAGCACCCAAAGATCCCATTTACAGTAATTCTGTGGCTAGGTGCAGTGGTGCATGCCTATAGTTCCAGTGCTTTGGGAGGCCAAGGCAAAAGGATTGCTTGATGCCAGGTTGCAGAGAGCTGTGATTGCTCCACTGCACTGCGGCCTGGGCAATGGAGTAAGACTCCGTCTTGTAAAGAAAAATGTTCTCACTTCACACAGAAACAAGAAAAAGCTAGAAAGTGGACACTAAATTTATAAGTAGAAATCTCTTAAGTTTTTACTAAAACATCAAGAAAATAGGAAGAGGCTGTAATGATAATACTTTTATAGCACTTTCTCATTATTTGTGAAATAGCTAAAGTTCATATTTTTGCACTCTAAGATGAGGAATTTGAGGCTTATTAAATGTAAATGGAATGATTAAAAACCTAATTGGCTTAGCTGAGCTTTTTCTACCCATCACATTGTGTCTAGTAAACTAGTAAAAGGGTTAGAATTCTTTCTTCTTGGTCGGGTTCGTGATACTACCATCATCTTACCAACCCAGCTTGGAACTTTAACTACTTTTTTCACTCTTCTCTTCTCCCATGACCAAACAAACAGTTCAACCATGGTAGTATGGACCTTTGCTATAGGTTCTCTGGGGGAGGTATACATTGTGGGATGTTTGTTTAGCAGCATCCCAGGCCTCTGTCCACCAGTAGTGTCTTCTCCCCCGAAGTTGTGACAGTCAAAATTATCTCCTGAGATTACCAAACAAGATGAAGACTGAGAGAGACTTGGCCACTAGACTTGAGGTTGTAAGTGACCTTGCTAACAGCATAGTCAGGGGCATGGTATGAGTAAAGATACTGCAGTGGATGCAAGAATCATGGGGTGAGAATTTGAAATAGGGAGTTTAGGCACGTCTTTCATGAAGTTTGTGGGGAGCAGAGAAATGCAAGTGGTAGCTGGGAAGGGATGTGAAGTCAAGAGCATTTTAAGAAAATAAATGGGAACGACCCCCATAGGGTGGTGTCAGGTACCACCTGACAGCAGCTTGAATTTGCTGACAGCCAGGCATGAGCTATAGCTACAGTCATCCTTTCCATCTGCTGTGCATAAAACAGATTTTGATTCAACAAAAGTTTGAGCATAAAGATCTTTTAAAACCACCACCTCAGGATTCTGCCATTTTAACCAGTCTTTTACACATCCACACCCAAGTCTAAAGACTGCCCGATTTCTTGCCTGCAGTGCTACAACTGTGAGGAGGAAGCCATGTACCACTGCTGCTGGAACACATCCTACTGCTCCATCAAGTGCCAGCAGGAGCACTGGCATGCGGAGCACAAGCGCACCTGCCGCCGGAAAAGATGAAGCTGGCCCTTCCCAGAGTCACCCCGACGATACTCTTTTCAACACAGCGGTTTTTGTTTCCAAGAAGCCAAAATTGTTTAGAATTTGCTTCCCATTTTGCACCAGCCTTTAAACACTTTTCGTGAAGAAATTTTGCACAGTAGTTTAAATCTTTTGTTAATGCTCCTCCGAAGTTTTTCAGGGGGTTAAAGTAACATCAGTGGAGGGTATTATTTTAAATAAATTTTAATTGAGAATTTGTTGCATTTTCAGCAAATTTTAAAACATTTTTAGGTTTTACAGAGATTTTAACCTTTAAACAACAGATCTTTAAAAAACAGGTGAATACAAGTGAGTTTAACAAAGAAACATTTAGAATAGATCTGAATGTAAGAACTACAGAACTGTTTCAGAAATAAAACATACTACCTTGATGTGACATTTTTTTCTTAACCTTGTTGAGCTGGTTTTGTTCAGCTTAATTTACTGTTCAAAGGCATTATCTGTTGGTCACACCAGTGGGTATATGATTGAATTTAGGGAACAGGGTTGACACAGCAGGGCTAGTCCTGCATATTTTTTCTTAAATATTTCCCAATTGTGTTTTTCATTATTTCTTTTCAATATATAACTTTTATAACAAATTATTAGCTTTGATCTTGTAGTTTAAAATTGCAGGGAACTGGGGTAATCTTTTACTGAGCTGGATCTTAGAGAAAATGAATATTTAAATTTTAAAGTTTGCACATTTCATCTTTGTCCTAACATGAGTGCTTGTAACAAAATAAACAACAAAAACAAAAAGCCAAAAACTACCTTTATCCATATGTGAAATTATAGATGAGGCATACAAATTTGTTTCATGCTTCCCTTCCTACATATCATCTCACTGCCTATTACCTGGTGTCACCTCGTGTATTGTTAAGTTAATACTAAAAGAAGAGAAAGCACTTAAGTTTCACAGAAGCCGTTATGTTTCTAGTAATGGGTCATTGCCTACTAATGAACCCCATCACTGTACACAGAATGAAGAATAATGCATGTTAATTTCCTTGTATTAAAGATGCCGTGATTTGTAAAAAGTCTGTATTTTGCGGAATGTCTGGATTAAGAAGCATTACCAATAGGAATGGATCGATAGTTGAATAATGATTTTTTTATACATAGATATGTAAAATACAGCCAGGAAAACTTAAATTACTTTTCTTTTAAAATATCTCACAATTTATGGGTTTTTTTAAAGACTGATCTTAGACCAAGTCAGATTCCCATTTATCATTAGTTATTTTTTTTTTGAGGTTAGAGAAATAATTTGTAAATATTTATTTAGACCTTTGATATTTATTAAAGCAATTACTCACAATGGAAGTGAAAGAATCAGGAGAAAAGCCTTTTAAAAAGTTTTCTCCAGGTTTGTCAGGGTCACTCTAAAGAAAAAATGTAACTAAGTCTTCTGTGAAATATCATCCATCCAATCTCAATGCTGTTGCAGATGGTGGTGACACAAGTTAATTGACAAACTACTGCCAAATGGTGCACAATATTTTGTAAAAAGTACCCAGTAGCCCCATTTCATACAACATACCTAAATTATGCAGTAACTGGGCAGCATCATTCCCTCCTTGTTGCTGTGTAATTAGTCAGTGTTGCCGCAGTGTGTGGCGCTGATGGACATGTCAGAACCGAGAACACTTAACCTTCTTTGTTTTTCAGGTTTTAAGAACTTCGATCCACCCCTATGAGAGCAAGTAATTGTGGAAATATTTTCGGTGTAAAATCATTCCAGAGTATGTAATATTTAACTGATAGCTGCATGAAAGTGAGATTCGTGTTACTTTGGCTTTTTTGTCTCTGTTGACACGGTTGCACATTTCCAAGTTACTACAGTGTGAAAACTGTGTGTTAAAAAAAAAAAACAAAATTAAAAAAAGAGATTGTGGCCTGGTTTTGTAAAAGTTTTAGGTAAAATTACAATTGATTGTTTTAGGAATCATTATTAAAAATTTTCTGCAAATCATAAAGCTATATCGAGGTGTTGAGCTTAGCCACTATGCACATTGTAATTATTCATTGTGGCTGTCCAGTTCTATGATGCATTCTGGCATTTTGTAAGCTGCTCTGACTAGCAATATATAGATTCATTTAATGTGTTAACATTGGTTAATAAATGTATTTAAAAAAATGGATTTAGTAATTTGTTGATTTAGTCCAGTCCCCTATATCCAGCCAAATACTACTGTCACTAAATGTTGATCATATAGTGTGGGTCACTCTTTGGTGACTAACCTTATCAGTGTGTTAAACATCATTCGTTCACTTAACCAGATCTCAAAAAGACCATACATGATTTACAAAGGAGAGGATGATTATGTATCAGCTGCATATCAATTACTGCAAGTCAGCCTGAAAAACATACACAACTCAGAATGGAGCAGATTTTTTTTTGAGATGGAGTTTTTTGCTCTTGTTACCCAGGCTGGAGTGCAATGGCGCGATCTTGGCTCACTGCAACCTTCACCTCCTGCGTTCAAGCAATTCTCCTGCCTCAGCCTCCCAAGTAGCTAGGACTACAGGCGTGCCCCACCATGCCCAGCTAATTTTTTTTGTATTTTTAGTAGAGACGGGGTTTCACCATGTTGACCAGGAGAAGATTCTTAATTGGAAGCCAGCTGAGGCTTACCCTCTGCTGTTTTCATCTGCTTGTTGGTGTGATAGTTGAGGGTAGTTGACCAGCCCTAGGTCTTAGTGCCAACATTAACCCAGCCTTAGTCGGTCCTCTCTGGTTTTCATCGTTCATGCCCTGTAGATATATCACAACTGGGATCAGACAGTTTAGGTTTGAATGTTAAAGTCCCGGATACTGCAGGATTGTAGCAGTAGTATCATTCTGTTCACCCTCATTTTGTCTTTGTTTTTCTAGATATATTTTCCTAAGCAACAAGCGGTGTTGGCCGGGCACAGTGGCTCATGCCTGTAATCCCAGCACTTCGGGAGGCCAAGGTGGGTGAATCACCTAAGGTCAGGAGTTCGAGACCAGCCTGGCCAACATGATGAAACCCCATCTTTACAAAAATACAAAAAGACCTGGGCATGATGGCAGGTACCTGTAATCCTAGCTACTCGGGAGGCTGAGGTGAGAGAATTACTTGAACTTGGGAGGCAGAGTTTGCAGTGAGTCGAGATCAAGCCACTGCACTCCAGCCTGGGCAATAGAGCAAGACTCCATCTAAAAAAAAAAAAAAGAGGTGTCACTTTATGAAATACCAACTCTGATTCTAGATCTTAATTATTAGAATTGTGTTCTAAAATAGGCTTTTCAATAACAAAAATTTCAACTGACAGATATGAAGCCCATATCTATAATACATGAGTATCACTAAAAATTTCAGTCATTGATTACAGCAAAATGAAAGAAGGCCTCTAGGAAGGTGTATAGAGTAAGCGAAGTGACAATGTTCCTTCTGTAACTGGGAGGAGACCAAATTGAAGTAGTGAAGCCAGTGGCTTAGAGAATAAAAAGCAGTTTGCACTTTCCAATATTAAAACTAGAAATACACTTGTGTGAGAGTGGTCTTTTAATAAACAAGAAGGAAAAACATGCAATTCTTGTAGCAAAGCAATAGCTTTGGTGTGGCTACTCAAGACAAGATAGGTATAAACAGGTAAGTTTAAAAAGATTTAATAACTTGCTCAGACTTACCCAGTAGGTGAGTGGCAGAGCCAGGTCTCAAGCTCAGGTCTGTTCGATTGTAAAGCCCATTTTCTTTACTCTTATGCTAAGTTGAATATACAGATAGAATATTATTTGATAAACATTTGAAATTAATATCATCAAGTTCAGTACATCTAACATCAAACCCATCACCTTTCCTCTGCCTCCACTTCAGCTAGCTCACTGGATACCAGTGTCAGTTCACGGCCGCATCACAGTCCTGGTCACACAGACTAGACAGTGATGCAACAAGTGGCCTCACCCTGTTCTTTGCCTTCAGTCTCTAATTCAGTAGTTCTCAAACTTGTAACATCAGGATCACTGGAGGGCTTATTAAAGCACTGCAAGCTTCCACCCCCAGCATGTGCATTGCTCCCAAGTTCCTAAGTGTTGCTGACGGGAACATCCTTTGAGAACACTACTTTACTAACATGGGATAAAAAGAAAAGCAATGAACCCTTTCCTGAAAAGGGCACATATACATACATGCACATAAAATATACATACATGCTGCATAAAATTCTCTGGATCCCTAAGGCCCAGAATTATCTTCACCCTCATGTTAGGAATCCCTGATCCAGTAGGACTGGAGCAGCAAAAATGTGGGAAGGGAGACAAGTGGAGGCCTGTTACTGTAATCTAAGTCAGAGCCTCTCAAGCCTTTATGCGCCACAGATCACCTGAGGACCCGGTTAACATGCAGGATCTGATTTAGTGGATCTGGCACGGGTGGGGCGGCTAATTCTGCCAGTTCTAATGAGCCTCCAGGTGGTATTGATTCTTCTGGCCAGGGACGGTATGAGAGGCCAGGTGCTCAGGAGTGTGGAAATTCATGAAGTACTACTGCACTAAATTATAAACCCCATAAAGCAATAGTGTTAACTAAAAATACATGAAGCATGCATGCAACTTTAAATTTTCTAATAGCCATATTTGAAAAGTCAGAAATAGGTGAATAATACACCTCGATATATCCAAAATACCACTTCAACATGTAATTAACATAAAAATGACTGAGACCACTTACATTCATGTTTAACACTAAGTCTTTAAAGTCCAGTGTGTCTTTCATACCATTCAGACTGGCCATGGTCATTCACATGTAGCTGGTGGCAACCTGTATTCAATTCAGTGTATTGGGCAGAGGAACCTAAAAATAAGACCTTTTTCTTAGACTAGTATACATGCCCTTACCCATAGTAGATATTCATACAGCAAACATGCGTTAGAGCTTACTCGGAACAAAGGAGCCGAAAAAAAAAAATGAATTCTCACCAAAATTTAAGCCTCGCTAAGGGTAGGCTCTTGATCTGTTTCAAAGTAGCAGGTTCGAAAGCTTAGGAAGACCCAGTCGAGGTCCAAATTGACATTTCATTTAGGCAACCCTGGAAAGGGATCCTAAGTAACCTTGCGGTTCTAAAGGGCAGTTTGAAAACCCTTGAGTCTAACTCCTTAATTCCATACTGGAGATAAAACAGACCCAGAGCTTCTTGGTGTCATAGATGCAATAATAATACCATACCTCCTCTTTTGTAGTCCTGTACAGACTAGGTGGCCTCGTGAAGTCTTGCAAGGACAGGAAGTAGTCCCTACCCTCCTGGAATGAGGCAGGGTAGACTAGCCAATGCTGTAGAATGCTGAGGAAATTCAGGGGGAACAAGGGTTAGCTGGAGATGAAAGAGGACAGAGGAACCATATTGATTTTGGATGACTTGTTTTCCTCCATATTTTTACAATGAAGATTACTACTTTTGAAAGTAGGGTGGAGTTAGAAAAAGGCTTGGTAGGGAGATCTGTAGTGTTAAGAGTTACAGGAGAGTCATGGGAGACTTGATGTGGTTACGGGCAGAGGTAGAAGGAAGGAGGGTACTGGCTTGCAAGGAGAGCAGAGACTGGCACAGGGAGGGCAGCAGACCAAGACGTGGAGAGAAGACGACCCAAGAAACGTAGCAAAAGGGAGAAGGAAATAGACGGAGGTAAATCACGTTTGGGACAACAGCCTATTTTTATCTAACCAGGAGCCCCTTGGTAGAGAAGGTACAAGTCTTCTCCAACACTGGAATTTTAAAAAATTATTAGTTTTAAAATTGATACAAAAGTCAAAGATTGAAAAAGTTACAAAGTCAAAATGTCTCAGCCAATTTAGTTCTCTTGTCCTGAGGCAATCAGGGACACCTCCAGTTTCCTGTGCATCCTTCTAAAGACACAAATGCAATGCTAGTGCTACCCTAGCACTGAGAACAGTCAAGTTCGCTTCTTATCTGTAAATGTGAATTTATAACACATAGGTATATACATACACGTGTGTATATCAACCTGCACTCCAAGTTTCTTTAAAGTATAACCAGAAAGTAGAATGAATTATAAAGTATGAGCATGGTGTCTCACACTTCTACTCCCAGCACTTTGAGAGGCCAAGGCAGGAGGATCACTTGAGGTCAGGAGTCTGAGGCCAGTTTGGATAACACAATGAGACCCCACTTCTACCAAAAAAAAAATGGTTTTAAAACATTATAGAAAGTGCCAATCCACTGTCTTCTATCTCACTTTAGAGGATCATAAATATTAGGAAAGACTAAGCTCTGAATTTTTAGAATCTTTTAATAATTCTAGCAACTGAATATCTGCTAATGGGAGGGTGAAGATATGTGGGACTGAGGACCAAACATTTTTGGATTTGTCTCCAGTAAAAATTTTCTTATTTGTATTCAATTTCTTACGGCTCTTGATCCTTAGGCCAAAGAGAGCTTGCTTGAAACAAAGGAGCTGAAAAAAAATCAGTTCTCACCAGAATTTAAGTCTCCCTGAGGGTAGGCTCTTATCTGTAAATGTGAACTTACACACAAATGTACATATTTATACACATGTGTACTATTTTCATAAATCATTACCAAGCATTTTTCTTCAGATTTCACTAGTGTTTGTGGGAAGCCTTCAGAGTCCAGGAAGGGTTAGGGTTAGGGTTAGGAGCTGCATCTTAATCTGCATTTTAACGATCTCAGTAGTTTTATCCATTTCCCTCTTTTAGACTATTATTCTTTTAGTTATTTCTTTTTTTGCCCTAAGCAATTGTCAGCTAGGCAACCAAGGCGTATTTTGGAGATCCATATTTCTCATTGGGTGGTCTTTATAATTGAGCAAAGAATAGTTGAATATCAGGCAGCCCCCAGAACCAGAAGGGGTTTGTAGTGACACTGGGACTAACACGAGGCGTTTCAGGGAGAGAGACCTGGGGATTTTCCTCAGATGGTGGTGACGAAAGATGTCCTTGTTTACCTCCTGAATGGAGGCAATTTTCTCAGATTTTATTTTAGAAGATTTTTAGGTGCCGCTGGAAGTCTTTCATTATTTATGTCTAATACTAGCTTTTTCCAATTGTATATACAAATAAATTATTTTAGGGATTTCAAAAGACCTCCATTTTAGGTCACTGTTGTTCATGATCATCCTGGGTTAGGTGGGTGCCCTTTCCTAAATATGTGTATAATCTATATTGTATGTAAAATCTGCTGGTATTTAATAGGCGTTTGTCACAAGTGAAAAATCAGGTCCAAATTACAGAAAAGCAGCTGCAATTTTTAAAAGCATACTATGTAAAAAGAGATCGCAAATATCTAACTGTAAAATCCTTTGACCTAAACCTCTGCTGTGAGATGGGGGCAGAAAAATCTTCGACCCAAACCCCTTGTCCTGAAACAGAGGAGGAAAAAAAATTCTCTGTAGAGTTCTTTACCTGAATCTCCTATCTGAAAAGAGAGAGCAAAGCCCTTATGCTTAAAAAAAAAAAGGAGAGTTTGAAAAACAGTCTAAATAAGTCTGGACTTTTAACCAAAGAGTGGTGTTACCAAAATGCTAGGGGTTTGATCTCTATGCTGCTGCCTGCTACACATGCTGCTGCCTGCTACACAGAAAGCCAGTCACTGAAGTATTGGCAGGAAAGAAGGCTTTAATCAGGTGCTGCAGCTGAGGAGATGAGAGATGAGTCTCAAATCCATCTCCCTGACTGACTAAAATTAGGGGTTTATATAGCAGGGAAGAAATGTGACTACATATAGGCAAACAGGAACTAGGGAGGGATAAGGAAAAGGAGTCAGTGAAAGGCAGCAGATGCGTGGTTAGGCAGTCATGGTGGGTGAGGGTCCTGGCCTCTCATTGTTCAGTGTGGAGACCTGGTGAGTTTGAGCTCCTCAATACCATCTGGGAGGCCTGATAGTCGGTGTCCTGAGAAAGAAACCCAGGTAAGAAAAATGTAAGTTGCTCAAGTTTTAAGACTATACGGGTCAATTTCTATGTTTATTCTAAAGAAACCATGAATGTCAATTCAATGGGACAATTGGGCTAGTTTCAGTGGGAGGCCCAATTTGAGAAGAACTCACCCAAAACACCTGATAGGACTTCTGAAGACACAGAGTTCCTGCTGGTACCAAATGCTGCTTTCAGGTGGTCAGGGGAGACACTCGAAATCCTGTGGACTACACCAGATATTCAACCTAAAAGGAAGAAACTGAAGCAAAGTTAATAATATTAAGTACAAAGCTTATTTAGGCCAAGCTTGTGGATTGCAATTGGGAGCACAGATTCAAGTTGCCCTGAATATATGATCTGATAAGCAGCAGTTACAACTGGGTTTTTTGTTTGTTTGTTGTTGTTGTTGTTTTTGGGACGAAGTCTTTCTCTGTCACCCAGGCTGGAGTTCAGTGGCGTGATCTCAGTTCACTGCAACCTCCACCTCCTGGGTTCAAGTGATTCTCTTGCCTCAGCCTCCCAAGTGCCTGAGATTATAGGTGCCTGCCACAATACCCAGCTAATTTTTTTTTTAGTAGCGACAGTGTTTCACCATGTTACCTAGCCTGGTCTCAAACTTCTGACTTCACATGATCTGCCCAACTTGGCCTTGCAAAGTGCTGGGATTATAGGCGTGAGCCCCCACGCCAGGCCACAAATGGGTTTTTAAAGGCAAAAAAGGAGGACAGGGAATTGGCTGACAGAAAATTGGCTGTCAGGAATTCTTGCTGGTTTACAGAAACAACAGTGATGAGTGATTGGCTGTACATTGTTAAGCTATGGGGTACCAGTTACAGTGTCTGTGGTAGCATCACTAGGTTGACTGACAGCTGTAGGGTACAGGGCATGTGTCACTAGATTGATTCATAGATACTGCAGCAACAGCAAGCAGTTTCAAGAGATGTACATGTAAAGTGGGGATGTGTGATGTGACTGCTGCCTCATTTTACTGTCTTTCTGGACGTGATAGTTTAAAAGGACTCACATTCCTCAGATAAAAGTTCTTTTCTCACATTTCTATGGACAAGAATAATTTGTATTATTATACTGTGACTGGAGGGGGTGGGCACCTCCCTCAGAGCTCAGGCCTCAGAGCTGCCAATGTGGGGAGCTGTGGGATTCTTAGCACCAATGGCTGGGACTCAAATATTTGAGGACTGTCATCAAAAAAATCCAGCTGTCATTTGTGTAGGACCCACGGGCTCAGAATAGTCTTTTTACTTTTAAATGGCATAAAAAAGATCAATAGAATACTTGATGATGGGAAAATCATTTGAAATTCAGTCACCAAAAAAGCCCTGGCACTAGAGCCACAGTACTTATTTGAGGGCTATCCATGGCTGCATTTGTGCTATACTCAGAATCAAGTGGTTCAGATGGAAACCATATGGCCCACAAAGCCTAACATATATTCTCTCTGGCCCTTTACAGAAAGTTTGCCTTCCCTGTCTTACAAGGCTAGCAGTGAGCTACCGCTGACACCAAGCACAGCCAGGAAGCCTCTCGTTTTCTGGAACAACTGCCCATTAACGGCTAATGGTTTCATCTTAACCCATAGAATCCCTAAAACCCATGAATATCACCTAGTCCCATTTTGGCAGCCCACTTCAACCTCCAGGAAACAGAGCTGGTTATAGGCAGCAGAGTGTCACCTGTCTTTGGTGTATGAGCTCCCCAAAATGATCATCTAGCTTATGACGACCTGATGTAGCCCAGGAAATGCCTGCAGCATACCCACTAGCAGCAGGAACCACTCTGAGGATGAGAACGTTTTACATTAAGAATTCCCTGTTTTTTTTGCAGCAGACTACTCAGGCCAGACATGTGTGGCCTCTCAGCGATTTGAACCATTTGAAACTCCCTATCCCTGCAGGGAGGCTGGGTTCCTGGTGGAAACCTAGCCTGACAGTGAGAGGCCCGAGGAGCAGACCCTGTGAAAACACCTTTTTACACTGACCAAAGCTGTCAGTCATGGGCCAGTGATGCAACAGGTCACCTGGTGCATTCTAGCTCCTCAAAAAAGCAGCCCCTGGGAGGGCCAGGAGGAGGCTGCTAGCCCCAGCTTCCCTTGCAGCCTCCCCAGGTGTGCCCAGGAGCCCTGCAGGTTTGGGTTCACCAGGTCCCACCAGAGGCCCAAGATGCTGCATTTCTTTTTTCTTTTTTTTTTTTGAGACAGCGTTTTGCTCTTGTTGCCCAGGCTGGAGTGCAGTGGCACAATCTCAGCTCACTGCAACCTCCGCCTCCTGCGTTCAAATGATTCTCCTGCCTCAGCCTCCTGAGTAGCTGTGATTACAGCCATGCGCCACCATGCCTGGCTAATTTTAAAAATATTTTTAGTACAGAAAGGGTTTCTCTATGTTGGTCAGGCTGGTCTCGAACTCCTGACCTCAGGTGATCCACCTACCTAGGCCTCCCAAAGTGCTGGGATCACAGGCGTGAGCCATGTGCCTGGCCCAAGCCGCTGCATTTCTTACGAGCTCCCAGGGGATGCAGATAGTCCTGGTCAGAGGTGCACATTCTGAGTATCAAGAGCTGTGGGGCCTTCTGTGATTGAGGAAGGGGCATTTCTGGGGTGGGCAGAAGAAAGGTCTCTGGCTGAGCTGGAGCAGCAATCTCCATCACCGTTTTCTAGTAACTAACTTCCACTGTCTTCCCTTCCCACAACTGACCAATGGCTTTGGAAAATGCTCTGAAACTTTTTCAGAGGAGTTGACCCCCAACTCCACACTTAGGGGAAGTCAACCCTACTTCTCCTAATCCAGAGAAGGAATAAAAAGGAATTTGTTTCTAAAGGCCCTTTAGAAGTATCTTCAGGTCTGACAGGGGCAAGCTAATCTCTCTGGTCACCTTCCAGGAATCTTCTGACTGCAAAAAAAATAGCATTACTACCTGACTGTAAACCCAATGAGAGAGAGAAAAACACAACCATTTAACTCAAATATAAGCATCTGGCCTCTGCTCATCATAGGAGAGTAACACAAATATCTATTTTTAAGATGAAACTAAATATAATTGACCAAAACATGAATGGGGAGACCTCAGTATGATACAGCTCTTACCTGGATGGAATTTGTAATCAAGAGGATGAGACTGGATTATAACTTGTGCCAACGTGAAAGGGTTTACTCAGGTATCGTTGATTTTGCTTGAATGCATGGATAATTTCCAAAGTTCTTTAGAGCTGAATTTCACCATTTATTTTAGTGCAGGTCCTGGTGAGCCCACCTTGACTTAGGTCATGGTAAGAAGCAGTGAAGTGGCCACAACGCTGGGCAAGAGAAGCCAACATCAACAGCCAGGGAGTGGCTGGGTCCTTACCAGGCTGGTGGGCCCTGGGCCAGGAGGAACAGCACCTTTGCCTGGTCCATGAGTAACTGGGTCCAACTCTCCTGTGGACATAGAAGGCCAAGGTGACCAGCGTTTGCAGGAAAAGGAGGAGGAATCGGCAGGTTGGGAAGGTGGCCATACCTCCTTAGTCACCTCTATCAGATTCCCTTCTCAGCCTCAGGGGGAGCCTCTCCTAAGCTGCGTCTTTGGTATGTCATGGGCACTCGGAGCTGGTGAAAAAGCTGGAGGGTCCTCTGGGAGATGACAGAAGCCCAGTGTAGCCTTGTAGTCAACAAGTAGGTGTACTTACCCCTGAAGTTCTACTTCCAGATTTCTGAAAACACAGGAAGGCATATGTGTGATGTCTAAGCTAACCTCAGCCTCTGGGTAGGGTTAGAAGGGCTAGCTCCAGTGTCCCAGGAGGGCCTGAGGTTGGTCCCTTCCCTTCCCAGCTCCCCTCCATGGTTTAGCCTGATCCCTTCCGTCCCTGAGTCCTGCACATGGATGCTACACACAGAGCCTCTGCTCCACTTCCAGGAAATGGAATCTGCACAGCTGGGGCGGGGTAGCTGTCTGTTAAAGAGCAGACCTACGAAACGAGCATTTTGACATCATTTCCTGCAAAAACACATTTTTAAATAGCTCAGGTTCTTGTTCCAGTACTGGAGCCTAGGTGTTGCTGGGGTGCCTGGGATGAAAGGGTCCCTAAAGGTGGAGTTCTCCTGCAGTTCAGCTCAGAGCAGAGACACCAGGATGCACTGTTGTGGGGTTATCTGTCTTGGTGGCTCAGGATAGTCCATGCCCTTTCCCTCCACTCTGTTCTATCCCAGACCTGTAGCAGCTGACGCGTGGCCAGGTCCATCCCTGGACATCCACTTGGACCTGGCTACTTCTGCACCTCCTGAAACAGGGATAGGTCCCTGGGGCCTCCTGAGGGGGTGCACACACACCTCCAGGTGCTTCTCACACACTCTTCTCCAATAGGGCCACAAAATATGTTTCTGCCCAACTATGCTGTATAACCAAACTTCCTAAGGACTCAACCTTTCTGCCTCCGGCACCCTCCTTCCCGGGCAGGGCTTCTAAGAAACATGGCTGGAAACCTTATCTGAGTGAAGCCAGCTGGTTTGTAGAAGTTATTTGCTAGAAGTCTTTGTAGTTGGTGTAGTTTAAAAACTTAGGCTGGGCATGGTGGCTCATGCCTGTAATCCCAGCACTTTGGGAGGCTGAGGCAGGCAGATCACGAGATGGAGACCATCCTGGCTGACAAGGTGAAACCCGTCTCTACTAAAAATACAAAACCTAGCTGGGTGTGGTGGTACACGACTGTAATCACAGCTGCTCCGGAGGCTGAGGCAGGAGAATCACTTGAACTTGGGAGGCAGAAGTTGCAGTAAGCTGAGATCGTGCCACTGCACACCAGCCTGGTGACAGAGTGAGACTCTGTCTCCAAAATAAATAAATAAATAAATAATAAATTAAAAATTAAAAACTCAAGTCTCAGAGGCAGTAACGGAAGCCCTTTCTATTTCTACCCATTTCTGCCTTGAATGCCAGTTCTAAACAGGGCTGATCTGGCTACCATGTGACAGCTCAGGCACAAACTCGCTGTGCCCATGGAGGTCCAAATCCAGTTTAGAGATGGGGGTAAACACAGGTGTGCAATCTGGGGAGTGCAGAGCAGAACCACCACTGGACCCCTCGAGCAAGCTGGGTGGACCCCTGTTGCCAACACCCCACGATGCCCTCATCTGACAGGCCACGTTAGCACTGGGGCCAGCCCAAACCACTTGCTCAGCTAGGGTATCAGCTTGGTCTTGCCCAGGTATTTTGTTCACGGAATTAACACTACAGGCTAAAAGACAGCAAGAGCTACAACTGAGAGTAAGCACTAGACTTGAGCTGCATGTGCCTGCAGTACATTTTGCCAGAGGGAGATGATGATACCAGCCAATGTTTTCATCCTACAAAGAAAACCCAGGGATGACAGGAGAGGTCGTCTAGGACTCAGCATGACTTTCTGGAATCTGGTAGAAAAAATGTTTATCAGCACGGATCAGGCATTGAGAGTTCTACTGAGACAACACAGTCAGAACTCAGCATCACAGCAAATGCAGCAGTTAGGAAATGACCCCTTTTGCTCTCCACGAAAGCACTCTGACTGCCTCTGTCCAGGTGGACAGACCATCTCACCCTCAGCTCACTGAGATATTTCACAGAGAATTCTCAAGACAAAGTGGGGGCTAGCCAGCCCACAAAACTGCTCTTGGTTGCGTCCTAAGAACCCAGCCTTGTGCGAGGGGCCATAGAGAACACAAAACACAACTTCACAGTAGCAAATCCTACACTCACACATAGGCGCTGGAACTCACACATGCATAGTTGAAAGGAGGGCGCCCCTCCCCGCCCCCGCCGGGAACAGTTCTTCTGGTTACCTGGTTTGTGCTTGACTGGTCACAGTGAGGGCTGCCACCTGAGAAGTGGGGACCCGTGGAGAAGCATCTCTCCTTTGCTATCTTCAGCTTAATCCGACGCAGCCCTGCAGGTCTCACACCAGCTCTGCACTTTTACACATCCAAAGCCTCATTCTCAGTCAGCGTGGGACTATCCTGAATGAAAGCTGGGGGTCAGGGGAGGCAAGTGAAATTCTAACAAAAAGGAACTTGGATTACACCTGGGTCTCTGTGCAAAGATTTTAGCTCCACTGATTTTCTTGTGAATAAATGTTTATCTTCATGGAAGGCCAGCTGACCTGCTACTGCTTTCCGAAAGAATTCTCAGATCTTGGGCAAAAGATACAGCTTTTGTTTGTCACATGGACAAAGACAATTTGGGCTGGAATAGTCAACCACTCCTACTTCCTGATACGCAAAGGTTCCCTATGATACAGCTGACAAAGCATTTGCACACAGGACTCATGCTGTTTGTCCCCAAATTACCAATAATCTGTACACTTGCAGCAAAATGTGAACAAATATATTTAGATATATTTAAAAGAATTAAAAAACATTTCACAAAACATAGTTGCCATAGGAATTATTTTTAGCAATAAATGCCCACATCAAAATTTAAACATTGTTCAAAGTATGATTATCTGTACTAAGTAATGCAAACAAATTATGTAAACAGAGTCAGATACATTTCCCTGCAGGAGTGACTTCCTTCTTGGGATTAAAGCTGTCCCAGACATCTTTCCAGGGGACCAATTAAGAAACTGCTATTTTCAGAGCAACAAAAATAAAAGCTTTTATTTGTTCATTTGAATATAAAACAGGCGTTATCACAGATGTACAAAGCGTACTGGTGGTTTAACATACAAGAAGGTTGCTGTCCTTTGCACATAAAAATTTTGTTTGAAACCGTGATTGGTTGAGTACATGAATTTCTCTAACCAGTCACCACACTCTGAAATAACGCTGCTAACATTCAACTGATAAAAGGGACCATCTCCCTTGGGTAAAGTGTCAAGCAGGATTAAATATATATAATAAACAAGCACCATGAGGAATCTGCTCCTGTTTGATTAGGTCTGTGTTTATATGTTCATTGTGTACCCTCTTTTTGTGCAAGTTGATTACACGGTTTTGTCTGACTTCAAAAGCACAAGGTCACAAGACAAACATTTTTTTACATTCTCATGAATGATATCTACAGTACAATTTCTGAAACAGAATGACCCTTCTTTATTGCTGAAACTGGTGGTACTGTCTCCTTTCCTTTTTCTTGCACAACGAAATTTCAATCTCAGTCCACCAACTCTTTTGAGCCAAAACTCTAACATCAGAGTTGACAGGATGCAGAAGAGACTGCTGCTAACTGCCCTCACAACTGCACTGCAGCGTTCACACTCCTTGAACGTAGAGTTGATTTGGTGACAGTTAAAATTATGTTTAAAGTGATATCTAAATTTGTTTTGCTTCCTGACTTCAGCTGGACCTCAATGTTTTCCTGCACACTGCAATTAATGTTTCATAGTCAGTGTCTGACCTGAAGCCCTACACCTACTTCCCTTTAAACAAGGTGGGTGGGTGGGTGGGTGTAAGAAAATGTCTTTTTTTCCTGTGTGTGGTGGTTCCCCTCTTAGGAAGCAGAGACTAGGAATGTGTATCTGAAGCATATGAAGAAAAATATTCACACACAGCAATGAGGTCAAACAATATTTCAAGAATCAAATGGTTTGCGGAGATGGACGGATGCACCACATATGCAGACAAATTTTTTGTATGTGCCACTTAATTTTTTTTTTTTTTTTACAATAATCAGCCTTGGATCTCAGAAGTCAAACAAAACTCTTTTAGCAAAAGGCTTACTGCTGACTGCATACAGCAAAGGCAGACAAAGACACTGCCTACAACATAATGAAAAATAATCTAAATTTTGCCCAGCATCAATCTTAGTCATGCATATCTAGCACCGAGAGCCACTGCAGGTCACACTGGGGCAGTCACAGAACACATCTTTCTCGGAGTGCAGATGCTCCTTCTTGGACACCGTGGGCCAATTCAATTTAGAAGTGCACAGGTGAGCTCTGAGAAGCTGTGGCCAGGAGCTGCCAGGGCAGAAACCGGGGCACAGTCGTCCACAGGCGGCAAACGATGCAGCTGGAGGACTTCTTGCTTTAGCTGGAGCTCTGGCATGAACCCCCAGGAACTGTGCTCAGGAGGCTCACACAGAGCTGGCTAGGTCTTAAGATGAGGGGACGATCACCGATGTGAGTTCCGGACACTTTGTCCACTCCACATTGGCCATCAGAGGGGGAATCATTGCAAGCCAGTGCAAATGACCACAGAATCGCATTCCTTTTCATAGCAAGGACCAAAAAAAGATGACACTAACAAAAATGATGAAAAACATTGTGCAATGAATTCTTGCAGCTAAGAAAACTATTTGCCAACCTAAACCCCTCGGTATCATCAGCACACGCTGGCATAAACACATTCACTGTTGTCCCACAGCAAAGAAAAAAATAGTGCACACTGAGCTTTAAATCCTTTCACCATCCTTGAGATGGCAATAATTTCACTTGCTGGTCTCTGGTTCTAGAAGAAACTGAGACAGCGCTCCTGCGCTCTGTGACTGCTGCAACAGCAGAGTGTGTGTGAGGACGAGGGGGCACACCATGCAAGTGACAAGTTCTGCATCTTCAACTGTAAAATCTCCTTTGTTCATTAGTGAATTTATATTTCATATATATATATTTGTTGTGATACTATCCACGCAAGATAATACAACACTTTTTTATATTAGCAAACATTACAAGACTTTAATATTCTTGAATGTTTTTCTCTTTTATAGTTCTAAAGAGATCAAAATAAATTAAACGTTTTGTACATAATTACATATTAAGGAAGTTAACTTATTTTATCTTTTTAGTTTAGTACAAAGATATTTGCAAGATAATTGCCGAAATACACCTTATTTATAATTTCTTCTCATTCTATACTAACTTCAAAGGCCATGTATCAGCCTTTGTTTCTTCAGCACATTTCTGACAAAGAAAGCTGCTAAAATCTAATTGAAAGGTGCTATTTGGAAGGTTGTCTCGTACCTCAAACTTTCCTAAAAGGATGAGATCTAGCAATGGCTTAAATTAGTAACAGATCCATGTCATTAAGATTTCATGACACATTAAAACAGAGAAAACAATTCTTTGTCACGCTACATAAACTGTTTAAAAGAACCCAATAGAGGGCAGGATACTTTTTAATTGCTATTCGGCTTAACAAAATACCACATTTACGAAGAAAGCACTTATTATCCAATAATTAAAAAAGAAAGAAAAGAAAAGAAAGTTTTTGAAATGGGCTTTTCCAATGAGCTGAAGGCAGTAATCCAAAGTCCTTCTGAGCGAAATTCAGTGGTAAATTCACATTTCACCCCCATGCCAATCGTGGCTGCTGTGAGAAGTCCTCTTCCTCCTTCTCTTCCTCCTCCACTCTCACCACAGAATGGCTGCATTCTGGTGAGTATTGCCCTGTGTCTGCAAGCTTCAGTGGACACGGAGAACAATGTTTACATCTCTAGAAAAGTCCATGGAAGCCAAGAGGTGAGACTACATGTTGTAGGCCACATAGATGGGGTCTAGCTGGTCTGCCAAAAACCCATCTCGCAGGTGCATGCGCTGCTTCTCCCCTCGGGAGTTGATGGGGATGACGCCAATGTCCACTACAACCACCACTCCCACAATCAGGTAGTGCTCCTCCAGGACTACGTTGGTCACCAAGGGAACCAGGTCCAAGGCTTCTTGTTCCGACCCATCAAGTTCAACCACAACCACCAACAAATTTGTCCAGGTAAACACAGCACTAAAGGACAAAAAAGAAAGCCATCATTATGTGTATTCATGCTTTATTTAATAGCTGCGGTTTCTTTTCACAAGTTTGCTTGGCTCTCTCTGACCTGCCCAAGCACTCCCGACAGTCTCCTCTGGCCTCTCCATGTCCTCCGTCTGCCGCTCACTAAACGCCCCCCACACAGCCTTCTTGGCGAAGCACTTGCCAGTGTTTTTCCTACCAGCCTTCTCTCTCGGTGGCTTCTGCACGTATCTCACCATCTTCCCGAGTTCTCATTTCTAGCACAGGGTTATGCCACCTGGCTACGGAGTCTGTATTCCAGTACTGCCTCTGCTGCTTCCTGGAGAACCAATGCCCTGATCGCAGAGTGCAGCAAGCCATCAGCCTCCGCCCTCAAGGCAGCCCTGGGCCTCCTGCTTCTAGACCCCAGCTCTGCTGTTGCAGGGTGTGGGCGCAGGTGTGTGTGTGTGTGTGTGTGTGCGGAGACCCAGGGCATGGGTGCATACTCCTCTCTGTATGTGCGGTGCACCCGAGGGGGAGCGTGTTTCCCAGCCCTGCGGCTTGGGCTCAGCATGGAAGCTGGTCAGCCTGTGTTAGGGAAGTGAATGCCAGCGGAGGCTCCGGAAGGGCTGGCTATGGGGGCTTCTCCTGGTGTGTCTTGATGAAGACACACCTGGGCTGGCCCTTGGGTCCCAGAGTATAAGAAACACATGGAGAAGAGCCACCAGTCCTATGCCTGGCCGAGCTGCTCACTCCAACTGAGCCAGCCCCCGACCGCAGATGTGGGGACATCTTAACAACTCTGTCTAAAGCACTGAGCATGGCTGGCTTCCTTACAACAGCTGCTACCCATGTGCAGAGAGAAGTCTTCTGGAATGTGGAAGAATCACTCAAATGTTTTTTTGGGGGATCAAGTCATCTTTCGGCAGGACGGGCACCAGAGTATTTTGTCCAGCAGGCGGAAGCGAAAGCCCAGTGCTTTACATTTTAAACTACACAGGATTGGCTTTTAGAAATAGCTGTTTAAAGGCCCTGATATTCACAGACCCTGGTGCTCAAGGTCTGCTTGGCTGAGGCGGCCAGAAGGTTCCCAGACAGTGGGGCTGGAAGGAGACCGGGCCCCAGGGCTGCTGGTCATGTGCCTGACAAACACATTCAATCCCAGCTTGAGGCAGGAGGTACTGAGGAAACTCACTACTGTTCTAAGTGTGAGAGTAAGTCAATTAGGAAAAACATGTATATTTTATTCAGTATGGCCCATATATGTTAAACTGAAAGGGAAAATTGGAGAATTTTCCTGGAAATTCTAAACAGTTCTCCTAGATTTGGCTTTGTGATTGCTGCACGCCTAGGAGCATGCTAAGAAATGTTTCCAAGAAAACATGCTGGTGCTTAATTCCAGTCACACTGCTCCTTGTGATGTTAAAACGTTGCTGAGTGGCCCATGTGAGCCCATATTGTGAGTCTGATATCACAGATACGTACATCTCAGGCACATTGGGTATACTTTTATTATGGCATTTGAAATTTACAGAACAGTCCTAGAATATCACAATGCGCTCGGCTCTCCGGAGGTAAGAGTTGGTGGAGGGTGTGCTTGCTCTATGGCTTCCTCTGGACTGCAAGGACCTACAGGATGGTGCCAGCGACTCAGGCTCTCAGAGCTTTCCCAGGAGCTGTACATGCTACGTAGTGCTGACAACAACTGACAGAGGAGACAAAGTGTGTCTGGCCTGAATCTGGCAACATGGAGAGTCCTGTTCCACAAAGCTGGAGTCATAGCTCAGCACGGAGCAGCCAGCAGTGGCCAGAAGGGGCAGTGCAGGGAGGCTGGGAGAGGGAAGATGGAGCAAAGCATCATGTCAAGCATTCGAAAGTCCACTCAAAGGGCAGCATGTGGACAAGGGGCATGTGAGTCCCTGACTAAGTGAGGGACGACCCAGGTTGGCGGCCACGTGGCAGGTAACAGCAGCAACACTTACTACAGAGTGAAGCCCAGCACCAGGGTCTAGAAGCCCAGAGGGTACCAGCGAGGCCCTCGATGCTCACCTTTTATTGGAAACCGGACAGAAAATGCTTGAGGGAGGTGATACAAACCAATTTTAATTATTTCCTCAAAAATATGAAAATGGAAGGCTGTAACTGATATTCATAGCTATTTAGACAGAAAATAAGGTAGGTCCTGGCCGAGTTTCTGGGTCAAAGTCTTCTTAGAATTTCTGTCTTCTTTGTATACTTGAGGAGAGAACTGTCAAGGAGACTGACAATTTGAGGAATTTTGTTTATGAGTGAGTAGGGGCTTAGCAAATTCAAACCACAGGATCATGGTCAGGTATGCAAACTCGATCTTGTAAATTCTGCCAAGTACTCAATGTTCAGATTCAGCAAATGGCAGTAAGTACCAGCCTTTACTGCACCTCAGTTAGCTAAGAAGAGGAACGAATGATCTCAGAAACCATCCTTTCAACCCAGAAAAGCTGTTGATGAGAGAGTGCAGAATGCGCCTCCCTCAGGGTTCCTGAGCTGAGACTGAGACTGTTTCATCAGGGGCCTCTCAGTAAGCACCCTGTCTGTTATCGAGGGAATGAACAAGTCTAAAGCCAATGGTGTTGAGTCACTTTTCATCCTAACTGCAAATATAAAGGCACCGAGCAAGCCCGTCAAAGTCCCCAGCCCTAGCTGGCTTAAAGACTCACAGCACTCTAGCATCCAATCCACTCCCACACATCAGAAGAACGTGCTGCTGATTCTCCAGCAGCACCACAGACATGCTCAGCACTTCACAACAGATTACACAGGTCAGAGAGGAAGATAAAGTCCCATCGCAAAGTCCTCACCTGGGCCCAGACCAGAGCCTGCCCCCAGGTAGCAGGTACAATACACATACCCTGTCACTGCCAGCCTTGGCCTACCTCAAGCAATTCTTCCTTTGGAAGTCTCCGCTGGGGTCTGGCCACAGGCTGCCTTGCCTTTCACTGGAAATTTTCCCACGTCTCATGCTACTTACAGTCCCCAAGTCAATAGTCATAAAAGCATATTCTGTGCCTATGTATGTGTCAGGTTTGTTTTCTTCCTATATCATGCTTTTGTAAATTAAAAACCAAACAATAATTTGGCTTCCTGGAAAATCTTATCAAGTAGTTTTCATAGCAATAGAAGTCTATCATGTTCAGGTAACATATGATATATTAACTCGATGTGTGGAGTGTTCTTTTGTTGCTTTAACCCCAAAAGATAAAGGTTTATAGTTCAATGTTGACTTGTACGCCCTTCCCTACCTGAGCGAAACTCTCCTCTACCGCCATGCCTCCACATTCCCAGTGCTTCACAAACTGCTCCCGATTCGGGTACAAGCCACAAGCTCACAACTTACCATTCTGTGACGCTTTTATGGGCTCTGATGACTGAGGTCTCGATGTCGATGGGGTGGTACCGCATGCCCCGCAGTTCCATGGCTTCGTCCAGGGCCCCAACCACGTAGAGGGCATCGTGGCGCTCTGTTCAGGAATGAAAGCCTGTGTGAGCTTCCCTGTCATGCTGCTCAAGCCACTTTCCTTCTTTTGTTAAAAAAGATGAAAAACTACCCCAAGTGAGACATGGACACGAAGGAAGGGAATCATGGTTTCAGGGACAGTCTGTTTCCTTCTGCCAGTGAGAGAGCTCCCTGGCAAGGCCCGGCTTATGTGTTGGTGGCCAACAGGCCAGCTGCAAGGCCGCCATGCTCCCTCTGCACTGGCTCAGCTTCCACACCCAGTCAACTGCCTACCCCATGCTCATCAGGAGCAACTGAGGGATGGGTCAGCACCCAGTGGTCTGAGTCCCGTGGACTCATCGGCCGAGGTCTTGCCTGCCCAAGGTCATACAGGATGCAGCGTGGCCACAACAGACCCAGCTCCCTGACTCCATCCCACACAGGCTCCTCTGTGCTATTAGTTCTGGGTATAAGCAGGTAAAGAAAGCGTAGCTCCTGGTAATGTTCATGAAGATTTCCTTAGCTCACGGAGCCATGAAATTTATTTCTATCCTTCATGCAAACCTCAGAATCATGACAATGACAACAAGTGGTCAAGTCCTATCTTTCCTTAAGGAAATATGTCCTATATTTTTATAGGGTCATAAGCATATTAGGGAAAATTTGAAAGGAAGGACTGACGTACAAAATAATATCAGATATAAGTATTTTCTAATTTCAATCAGACAAAGAAAGACGGAGACACTGACTCAGTCTCTGCCCCTACAGCAGCTTTGCCTCTTCCCCTATGGCAGGGGACATATCCTTCAGGGAATCCCTGCTCCCAGGACTCAGCGGGATGTGGCTTTCCTGGCCTTTCCCTAGGAGTATAAATTGCCACCAGCTTTTGCAGCTTCCAGGAACCTCAGACAGCACACTCAAACTAGTCTATAATTTCCCACAATGCAAATGTCATACCAGGATATTTTCATATGATTCCTAAACATAGCCCATTGGGCCAGGCCTTCATAGGTATGTTAGACAATGAAGCCTTACTGATGTCTAGAAACTCATCTTCCTGGGGTTTTGGTCAGGCAAGATCTCATCAGGAACCTCAGCTCCCATTGTTGTGAAATAGCCAAGTCCTGCCTCTATTTTTAGCAGAACTAAGGAGCTAAGAAAGGATTCTGGAATAAGCAAAGAATTAAATATGGAAGTGCATTTTTACACTGTGGCATCAGGAAGCACCCCTGGCCTCACCCCTGCTCTCCTCTGATGAGGGAAAGGCAATGCCACTCCACACCAGGCGCCAGCAGCTGTAGCACCAGGCCCTGTACTCTGATGAGTGCATGGGCAGAGACAGCCAGCCACCAGGGCGATGAGCCTTGAGCCTCCTCTTCCCAGATAGGGACAGACCCAGCCCTGGAAGTGGAGCATGCATGTTCCTGAAGCTACTGGGCTAGCTTCTGTCTCGGATGAACCCCGTGTGAGCATGCAGCCTTCAGACGTGCTGAGGAGACTCTGTGGGCTGAGACTGGGCACTTTGCTGTGGGAGGCACTGCAGCCTGTGCTCAGCAGCTGGGCCCCTCCCTAACTTTCAGTCTGCACTGGTTCTCAGGACAGGACGGGGTACATAAGACACAGCTCAGCCTGTGGGACACATTTGCGTTTTGCCTTTCTCTTTTTTTTTTTTTTTGAGATGGAGTTTCGCTCTTGTTACCCAGGCTGGAGTGCAATGGCGCGATCTCGGCTCACCGCAACCTCCGCCTCCTGGGTTCAGGCAATTCTCTTGCCTCAGCCTCCTGAGTAGCTGGGATTACAGGCACGTGCCACCATGCCCAGCTAATTTTTTGTATTTCTAGTAGAGAGGGGTTTTCACCATGTTGACCAGGATGGTCTCGACCTCTTGACCTTGTGATCCACCCGCCTCAGCCTCCCAAAGTGCTGGGATTATAGGCTTGAGCCACCGCGCCTGGCCTTGCCTTTCTCTTTTAAACTCAGCTCTTTTCACACTGGGTTGCAGCCTGTGCACATGTCCTCCTTCCTGGGTGTGGCCACAGTGAACCTTGGGAATGGCCTCAGTACCTAGGGGAGTCTAACGTCTCTGCCCATCTGTGTCGGGGGGCCGTCAGCCCGGACTCTTACTCACCTCCATTTGCATCTGTGAGCTCAGTTCTCCGCAGGAACCCCAGGTAGCCTGTGCGTGCCCAGATGGTCTGGGTGTCTCCAAAACTTAGTCGTGAATTGAAGTGATCCGACTGGAGGGACTCGTCTCCATAAATAGTGAAATAACCACTGGCGTTGTGGGCACTGTGAACCCAGATCTGCGAACGGAGAGAAATGTCACCGTGGAGGACATTATTTTATCTCCAGCGAAGTGAGGCTACAACTTTGACAATAAATTATATTCAGTGATATGAAAAGTTTCCTTGAACTGAATAACCAAGATGATGTTAATCTCGTTCAGCTTTCTGCAGACACATGGAGGATACTGAAATAAACTCACTTTACCAACTTTGTGGCCAAGAAACCAACCAAGCCATCCACCTATGGGGAATTGTATTAAAGCAGATTGGTTGAAGATTTCAGAAACAGCTTGTAAAAACATACACAGCAAATGAACAAAGTCATACTAGATTCCTTACACTTTTCCAAATGATTGTTTCTAAAGAGCAAGAACAAAGTGGAGAAGCTTTGAGATTTCTTCTCATGTCACCTGGTTAGCATATCTCTAGACATACATTGCAATAAAACCACACACCACAGAACAAAACCTGAGGGATGAATGCGTATCACACCAAAAAACGGAGACAAGAATGCTTGGATGTCTGACATCTGGGGAAATGGGTAAGCAAAGACTGATATAGTGACTCAAAGCCACAGCCACGTGGATCACACAGAACCATGGACAGGGCTGGGTAAAAGCAAAACCGCTAAGTTCCCCAGATGCTCATGCTGCTCTGCCCACACAGCAAGGGTCAGGAGAGGAAGGGCCTTTTGGACTCTGGCATGTTTGCAGTGGAGACATTCTGGGCTTGGCTGTTTCTGTTATTTACTGACAATGAAAGGTGGTAAGTTCCATGAAGTCAGAAACTGGTTTACTACGGCACCCACGTCCCACAATGCCTAACGCGCAGCGGTACTCAGTGTCTGCTAAACAAATGAAAAGACGAAACCGAGAGAGACAGTGCAGCATCAGATCAGGGAAATGACAACATTCTCGGTTCCCAAACACAAAGAAGTTCTCATTAAGGCAATGGAATATTCTACAGCCTTAAAAAAGAAGGGAATCCTGCCATTTGCAAGAGCACGGATGAGCCTGGAAAAAGTGATGCTGAGTGAAAAGCCGGAACAGAGAAGGACAAATACTGCACTACCTCACTCACGTGGAATCTAAAAAGCTGCGTTCACAGAAGTGGTTTACAGTGGTTGCCAGGGGCTTCAGAGTGGCAAGGGGGAGATGAAGGGCAAAGGGGCAAACCGCCAGAGGGCATACAGGTTCTGGGGAGAAAAGGCAGCCTGGTGACTACAGTGAATAACATCCTATTGTTTACTTGAAATTCGGTAACAACAGAGCCTAAATGTTCTCAACACACACACAAGAATGTGAGGTGATGAACAACAGAACTAACCCGGTCGTGGTATCTGTTTCATATTATGTACCTACATCAAAGCATCACAGCACGTCCCTTACTTATTATAATTTCCTTAATCACCCCTCAGACTGGAAAACACACATTCCCAATAAGAATGTCATCTTGGAAATTCCACCAGTTCTGGCCACCCTCAGAGGGAAGAGAATTCTGACCTTAGCCCAGCACATGTCTCAGGCAGTACCTGTGGGGACCCCTCTGGATGCTGGAGGGGACCAGCACCTGTGGGGACCCCTCTGGGTGCTGGAGAAGCAGGCTCTGCCTTCCAGCTTTGTTTCTAGGAATGTATTTAAAGGAAACTCCTAAGCGGGAGCAGCACAGAATTTTATCTTTGTAGTTCTGATCTTCCATGTGTCTGAGAGAGTCAAGCCAGGGGCCAAAAAAAAGGCCCAGGAAGAAAAGCAAGGTGGGATGTGAGAACTGGTTAGGACTTGCTCATTAACTGTGTGTTCACCACACACCATGCAGAAACGTGTTCTCGTGTGTGCTGGGGATGCAGCTGGGGCCGAGGAGGTGGCAGCTGCAGGAAGGGGGATGCCCAACGAGACGGGACAGGTGACAAGGGGAGCGAAGTTGTCCATGGCTGCACAAGGGGCTTGGTCTAATGGCACAGCAGGCCTGGTCTTGGATGGAGTAACTGGGGGGAGGGCACAAGTGCTGGCACTGTGGGAGGAGGCTGGCTCCAGACACATTCTTCTCCGGTGCCCTCCGCTTCCTCATAGAAGCAGCAAGCTCATTGCTAGAAAGAAGAATGGGGAAGAAGGAGGACGCATGAAACAAGTTGCCTCTCAGACTGGGAACGCCCAGCAGCACCAGGGCCTGCTTGAGAAGAGGTGTCAAGAATGGAGACCAGACTGTGCAGCTCCACAAGGAGTCTTTCTCCAGCCAAATCCCACCAGCAGCACAGGTGTTGGGGGGCACAGCAGCAGGGAGTGAAGAGCCAGCCAGGGTGGGTCCATCCTGAACACAATGGGCAAAGCTGTCAAGTATCCTTGTTTGCTTTCTGATCTGAAATCACCACGTGACCTCTTGGCTGCTGTGAACTGGCTCTGCTGTTGTCCTAGCATTACTCTCTGTGGAGGTCTCTGCCGTTTTTCCTGGTGAAGGACTTCTAAGTAATAACAGCAGGAACACAGAAAGCAAATTCGAAAGCTAAGAAGGAAACTCAGTCCACATGCGTTATGTGTTTAAATCTCTTCTGAATTATTTGAGGAGAATATATTATACTTCCCTAAGGAAATGCCATCTTGTAATTGTGAGCTTTCATGGACTCATTTGAGCAACAAAACTTACTTCACACTATTTCCAAGGCACTCATAACTCACTCAACTCAAATGGGCATGTGGCAGATCAAGGGTGTGTGAGCAGTTCTGACGGTGTCAAGACAAGCCAAGGACATACAACAGAAAATAACCTGGATCTCTGCGGGTGCTCAACTCACCTCTCCAAGGTGCGAGTCCCCTAGTGGTCCTTTCGTTTCTGGGTTGGCAATTATAATCCGAACCCCTGGAAGTATCTATTTGGGAGAGGAAAAGTCTCATTAATGGAAGGAACACAGGAAGAGGCTAAACACAAGCCAACCTCAATCTCGTCTTCATGTCCTTTCCTTTTTAAAGACCGTTTAGAAAGCAATTAAATTAACATATGCCACAAAGTTATGACCCATTATGCAACCACAGCCTCACAATCACGATCACATTCTCACTGTAATTGTTACAATATTGTATGCCATTATGGTGATCTTAAAATTAAACATTTTGATTGACAATCACACCTCAATAAAGCTAAAAGAAATCTATTTAAAATCACAAAAACAACTTTTGAACAAAAACATGATAAATGATGTCACGTTTAACACAACCTGACTTTTGCAAAATGGGAATTTTCAGTTGTTTCAATGAAGTTATTCACAATATTTACAGATTCAATATTACGTCTTACACCCGGGACAAGGCATGGATGGAAGGTGATGCTGGCCATCATCACTGAAGTCAGAGAGTCACAGAGTGACGTTTTCAGGGGTAAGCATGGACTTGAAGATAACCCAAAATGATTCTGGCAAAACTATTTAGCAGACAACTGCTTTGGTGGTGCCAGAGGGAAAGCTTCTGTATCAACTGCTAATGAAGTCTGGCAGGCTTTAATTAGGATGTCTGTGTGATATCCAGCTCATCTCCACTGAATTGTCAACTCAAGATACTGGGGAACTGCAGGTAAACATCTTCTACTGTAATGGATGTCAATATTAAACATTTCCTTTTTTTTCATTGAGACAGGGTCTGGCGCTGTCACCCAGGCTGGAGTGTAGTGACACAGTCACAGTTTACTGCAGCCTTAAGCAACCCTCCAGCCTCAGCCCCACAAAGTGCTGGGATTACAGGCAGAAGACACTGGGTCTGGCCAGAATTTCCTTCTTAATGGAAGTTTAGCCTAGAAATATCTCACATTCCACTGATACCACTTAGATAGGAATCAAAAGTTCATTATGGAATTCCTGAATATAGCCTGTCTCAGATCAGTTCATCTAACATTTACAATTGAGATAAAGGCAAAGCATTTTATGGTAAAAACACAGAATGTCCCAGAATAGTCATACTGTGCTTTCAGTCTGAAGTGAGACTTCAGGGCTCTGGGTTCCGCTGCTGGCGAGGTCCGCCAGACTCTTATGGTGATGGTGAGCACATTCCTACTGCTGGAACCAACTCTGTAAAGAATTCCAACTTGCAGTCTTGCAGGCAATTTTATAAGAGGCCCAGAAGCAACATGAAATGCTTTTAGAATTCTATCAATGGAGAAGAAATCTGACAATTGGGGCCAAAAAGGAAAAAAAAGAGTCTTCATTTAGGTTTAAGCATGTTTATTGCCGGGCGCAGTGGCTCACGCCTGTAATCCCAGCACTTTGGGAGGCTGAGGCGGGTGGATCACGAGGTCAAGAGATCGAGACCATCCTGGTCAACATGGTGAAACCCCATCTCTACTAAAAATACAAAAAATTAGCTGGGCATGGTGGCGCGTGCCTGTAATCCCACCTACTCAGGAGGCTGAGGCAGGAGAATTGCCTGAATCCAGGAGGCGGAGGTTGTGGTGAGCCGAGATCGCGCCATTGCACTCCAGCCTGGGTAACAAGAGCGAAACTCTGTCTCAAAAAAAAAAGTATGTTTATTGCCCTTTAGTTCTAGTAAATAACACAACCACTGTGGCAGAAACTACTAGGTATCTTTTGATAACCATTCTTTTTTACTCCCACAGTAATAGATACCCCGATTTTTAGGCAGGCCTGCAGATAGTCAGAATTGATATCTCAATAGTTCCCAACCTTCTTTTTAGCTAGGTGTGGCCAAGTGACCAAATTCTAATCAATGGTATTTCAGCGTAGGACAGCTTGGGAACCTTTCCTACGGTCTGCCTGCTTTGTTCTCTTCTTTTTCTATTTCTCCTCCTGCTGGCTGCAACATGGAAATGATGGCTGGAGCAGGAGCAGCTGCCTCAGCCCTGAGGTACCCTTGGGAATTGGGCTACACTGTGCAGAACGAGGCCAAAGGCACCAGCGCCTGTGCTGGTTTCATGGAACAGGAAATGCCTATTTCCCAACTTTTACCTGAGGAAAGAAGTCTAACTTGTTTAAAACACTGTTATTTTGAGTTTCTATACTGATTAATATGTTACTTTCCAGAAAGCTTTTGGAAAAAAAAAAACATTCTATAAAATACATTTCTTAAAACTTAAAAGCCCATACACACACACAGAAGCAAACTGACACAGAAATGCATGCTTCTTCCTATAATTCTTACCTTTCCCGATTCCATCAGGGGCAGGCTATGAGGGGATCCTCTTTCCACTAAACGGACTCTACAAACAGAAAGAGAAAATATTCCTAGATGTGTTTTCTGTCCAGTTTCCCCTTCACCAATTCAGCATGAGGTCATGAGCCCAGCAGGCTGTCAGGGAAAGTTGATTCTGAGCATCATCCAATGGCAAAGACATATGTCACAGAAAGGGCAACCCAGTAGCAGCGGAAACTGTACCTAAAGTGATGGCCACAAAGAAAGCAGATGAAGCCGCATCTCTCAAACCTGCCAAATAACTGGAAAAATGACTCTGAACTTAAAGTAAACATAAGTCCACTTATCATTTTCAGGAAAGGAAAAGAACACAGATTACAGGGCATCCTTGAAAGAGCTATGGGTCACGCAGGACTGTGCCACCTGGTCCTGAAGCATGGATGGCTGCACTGTGGGTGGAAGGCAGGGCCAGGTGTGCAGGGCCAAGAGTCCAAGGCAGTGTGAGCATCACAGCCACAGAGGAGAGAGAACTGCTGGGCCCTGTGACGGTAAAGCTACTCAGAAAAGACTCTTCAAAGAACATGTCATAGTAATTTAATCTTAAGAACTGCAAGAACATTGCAGCGATCACAGCCAGCGCTTTGCCAACGGTCCCTGCAGGTGCGTTATTTCTGTCTTTTGAGGCCTTCAGTGCTGGTTTTACATTTTTACCAGGTCCTAGTGGACCAAGACACTCTTCATTTCCCTAAGAGGCAATTTTTATTTAAACAAAGTAAAGCAAAGGAGAAAGTGCTCAAAGGCTTGAAGATGGCAGATCACAGGAGGACCTGCCTCCCACCTGGGGACAGGCTGTGGGCAGGGAGTCTGTTGGCTCCTGAGATGCCCTTCCTACCATTGATGTGTCATTTTTCAGAGACAGGGTCTCACTCTGTCACCCAAGCTGGAATACAGTGGTGTAATCGTGGCTCATTGCAGTCTTGACCTGCTGGCCTCAAGCAATCCCCCCACCTCAGCCTCCTGAGGTGCCGGGGCTACAGGTGTGCACTACCACACCCAGCTAACTTCTATGTTTTAGAGATGAGGTCTCACTATGTTGCTCAGGCTGGTCTCAAGCTCCCGGTCTCAGGTGATCCTCCTAACTCAGCCTCCAAAAACACGAAGATTACAGGCGTGAGCCACCATGCCCGGCTCTCACCGTGATTTGAACTACACTCTTAGGCACTGGGCACAGTGGTCTTCCTCTGTAACTGACAGGTATAGTCAAAGACAGAGGATGAAGGGGAGGCAAGGGGCAGGAGGTACCAAGAAAGAAACCTGAGTGTCAGGGCTCTGAGGGAACAGTCCAGCATACCCCTCTGCAAAGCATGAGGGAGACCGTGGAGGGTGCGTGCACCTCTGGGCACAGGGGTGTTCCTGCCACGAAGGGGGAGGCACCCAGTGGCATGGAGGACAGGCAGTGTCAGTAAACCCAGGAGTAGCGTGAAGGGCTCAGCGCAGGCACAGCGTGTGTGCCAGTGTTTTCGGACGGGCCTGACAGCTGCACTGCTCCTGCCAGATCCAGGGCTGTCTGCAGTGAGGGGCACCGTCTCCTGTGGTTGTTCAGTGACTGAGGCTACAGAACAATTCCTCCCAACCAACCTAGTGTGACTTCTCCTGTTACTGCAGCAGAACAGCCTGTGCTGGGGAGGGTCATCTGTGGTGGAGCAGAAACAGAGAAGGCTGGTGGCACTTTCCCTTCCTCAGGAGAACAGAGAGGAGACACTGGGGAGGCTGCCTGCATGTGTAAGCAGGAGTCTGATCAGGGAGGAGGACTTACTGGAGCCATTTCACATTGGATGACAAGCATCAACTCTTTGGTGTTTGTCTTAAAGGGAAACCTTGCTGCTAACAGCTGATGACGGCTGCCAAAGAGTTCACATGATTCAAGCTCTTCGGGAAAACACCGAGACTAGACAACACTAACCTCCTCCACAAAAGCCTCACTGGCTGCTTTAACACAGAATTGCAAGAAACCAAAGACCTTTCAGGAGCTAGGCAGGGTTATGCTAACTTTGGGTGGGTTACTATTGAGACTTGCCCTGAGAATACCTAGAATTTGTGGTGCAACACAAACATGCTCTCCTCTGGACCCTGACCATGCGAGCAGCACACAGCATGAGCACACCTGAGATATTGGCAGGACATGCCCATGCCGGACAAGGACACCAACTCCTTCCTCCTGTGCCAGGCACACGTGCCCTGATCTGAGCGGCCAGTGGAGTCAAAAGCCGGTGAACTGTGGATTCCAGAAATGGGCGATCTGCTCCAGATGAAGACAGTAGCAGAGAAGCCAGGCCAGCTGGCCAAGGCAGCAGTGAGAAAGAGGCACCTGAAGATGGCAAGGAGAGGGAAAGAACGAGAGGTGGGGTCAGATGCCCCTGCCTCAGCTTCCTACAAAGGCCAGCTGACCAGCCAGGGAGTGAAACAGCCAAAACTGAGGGCTGTTTTGGACACACTGTTGCCGTTTCTGTGCCCAGTCCACAGTCATCTCTACTTTACGATGTCTGAGATCCTGTCACTGCCTGGAGTTGGATGAATCAGCAGCTCTGGGAGCTGTCACTATGGGGATGACTTCAGATAGGGTCCGGGGGTCACTCAGGAAACAAGGCTCTTGAGTCACAACAGTGATGGGCAAATGCCCCAGGGCTCTGCCAGGCAGGGACAGGCTGTGCAGTATTCCCAGATCTTCCTTCTCTCCATCCCGGTGAGTTACCGCCTTGGCCTGTGCCCATCCACTAAGGGGCATGGAGGAAAACAAGGCAGGCGAGGCTCCGGGCAGGTGTGTGCTGGCCAGCGCCTCGCCCTCTGGCCGCACATCCTTCACTCTCTCCTGCTCTTGCCCCCATACTGACCCACAGCCTCAGGAAAGGAAGCAAGATGGAATCTCAGCTGAGAACCTTGTCTGAAGTGTGGAAAACATGGAAGATCTATCATCCAAAATTTCCTCTCTGGTTAGTATGAAAAAGGTGTGCTTCATATGAAAACAGGTACAGGGTGCTAAATCACTCAGGGCCAGTCCAGGATGAAGAAGCTCAATATCCTGCTAGCAAATGCCACACAGGAATTCCTTCATCTACACCAAGCTGAACAATATCCACATAAAGAGAGAAAACGACATCCACGTAGCAAAGAGAGGAAAAAAGCTGCCCCTATCTAAGGGCAGAAGAGATGTTTTTCTACAGAACTAGGAGCTATATCTGTAAGATACACATTGAAGGGCTGATTACCTCCATGTGCAAAGAACTCATAGCAATAAACAAGGTGATCTTGGTTGTTCTCAAAGCAGTGTCCTCCACAGTTACAGGGCAGGCTGAGTGAAAACGCGAGTCCAGCAGAGCTTGGTGCCGACTTTCTCGAACTGGGGATCATATGCAGATATCACCAGGTTTGGGCAAATTAAATGGGCTATGACTCTGAAGTGCTCATGGTCTGTGAGTTATAAGTAGCTGTGGTTATTAACACTTCTCAGTTAGAACTCGGTTGTAAGGTTAAAACCAAGGCATCTCCTGGCATGGTTTTACAGGCATGAGCCACCATGCCTGGCCCTCACTGAGATTTGAACCACACTCAGGCACTGGGCACAGTGGTCTTCCTCTGTAACTGACAGTTGTAGTCAAAGAAAGGGTGGACTGCTTTACAAGAGAGAGGTGGGCTGCTGGAGGGAAGTGCAGAGGTCTGAGGACTCCAGGAGCCAGAGCGGGGCAGGAGTGCTCCATGAGGGAGGGAGAAACACATAGAGCCAGCCAGGCTAGCCCTCTCCTGTGGGAAGTGTGACTGAGCAACCAACAGGACCAAGTGATGCCCTAAGAGGACGCTCATATCACAGGAGCCATTGTGCCAAGGCCCGTGCCCAGCAGAGCTACCCCTGTGGCAGAGCACCTGCCACTCAGGTCAAGTCTGCTTCAGATAACTCAGAGCTGAGTAAAGCTGCCAGCTCCGGACTGGGAACTCTGTGCTGCTTTTCTTGCTGCCTCCAGCGTGCATTACCGCTGACCAAATTGGCTCCAGGAGGTGGGCACTGACACCCTCCCCAGGTGAGAGTCAGTTTTAAACAGCGCACTTACTTTCACAGCAAGGCTACAATTTAACTGTATATCTGAATAACTCTTCTAGCCTGGCCTGTCTTGCCCCTTATTTCTTCTTGACTCTAGTATAAATCCTGGACTTGCGGGGAATGAACTGTCTTTTCATCCTATGCTATCAAGTGGACTTGAAGTTTAGACTTTTACTGCAAAAGCAGAGACAGAGAGTTGACATGAGGGTACTTGCCACTAGCCTCTAACCTGCCCTGTCCTTGAACTGCTCTCAGATTGACTCAAATTAGCAACTTGTTTCACTAGAAGCAATGCCTTGGAATGCTGGAGCCCTGATTGTACCATGTAACCCTGAGTGGGGAATGAAGGCATGGTGGTCACAAGGTCTTTCTGTGAGGTCTTCATTCTTCATTAGTGCTTCCTGGGAATGGCTGGGAAGGTGCTGCTTAGATAACCTGGTTTTTCATCATTTGTCTAAGGAGAGCCATGGTCAAACCTCTCTCTAATCCTTCCCCACAAAGCTACAGATGGGACTCTTTCTTCTTCCAACTAAGATTCTCACCAAAAGGCAAGAAGCCTCATCTGGGCCAGGCAAAGGGGGATGAGCACACCTGCCCTCTGCCAAGGACCACCGCCCCCCACGCCTTGGCAGTACCTGGAATCCTCCCACTGGCTGGTAGAGCATCCATCAGCACACCAGCTCCAGACACATAACAACAACCGAGAAACAAAACAGCATTCTCTACCCCAACAAACATGCGCTAGCACATGGCAGCGCCGCCCCCACCAGAAAGACAATTGCTTCAGACGAGTGCAGCTGGAGCCATGACCAACGCCTCAGGGTGGGGCACCTGATGCAAAGCACCACCCCGTCCACCCACGCCGCTGCTCAGCACTGGCCTGATGGCCACTCATGACCTGAAGGTTCATGCACCCTCTGCACCTTCAATCTCAAAAACCGGCATGAGACCAGATGCAGACAGAGTTGGTGCCG